TAAAGCCCTGCTTGTTGCTTTTAGTTGAGAACTTTTGCAAGATTGTCAATGCACATTTTTATGCCACTTGGAAACTTATGTGACTAATCACAATTGTTATCAAGTTGTGGGGGCCTTTAGTGTAACCTTGTACTTAGAAGCGGAGTTTGTTTTGTCAGACTTAAGACTGGAAGTTGTGACCGGGTTCTGTAAGGTTAACCTCCAGAAAGAAATCTGTGGCCGTGATTGTCCTGATGATTTTGTGCCAGGTTGTAATTGACATCATGGTAACTGACATTGCTTCTTTTACGCAGAGAAATATTCCTGAGGTGGCTTTGTACAGTCACAAGGGGATCTGTGGCATTTTTGTCTCCTGTATGCATGATAAAAAATAAAAACTTTTCTGTCTGGGGAAAAAATAACCTAGATCACGTTACTTCCCCATCCAACACCGTACACTGGTTAAAAATATACATCTATGGATTCCTTTTTGCAGGCGACAAAGCCCTGCTTTTGCTGGTCCCTGCCAGCATCTCCCATCAACCCCTGCTTCACGCTCTCTGCTCCCACACTGGCCTCTCTCCTGTTCTTTAAACACACTAAGCATGTTCTAGCCTCAGGATTTTATTTTATTTTTTATAGCCTACGGCACCCGGTATTCCCAGGCAGTCTCCCATCCAAGTACTAACCAGGCCCGACCCTGCTTTCCTTCCGAGATCTGATGAGATCGGGCGCGTTCAGGGTGGTATGGCCATAGACAAGCCTCAGGATTTTAGCACTTGCTTTTCCCAACTTCCTAGCAAGGATGTTCCTCCTGCAGATGCTCTCATCTCATGGCTCCCTAAATTCATTCAGACTTCAAATCCAGAGGCCTTCTCTGCCAAGCCTGTCCAAAATTAGCCTCTGCCCCTCCTCATCTCTCCCCACTCCTATCATGATTTTTTCCATGTCACTTGTAACTCTCTTAAGAATTTTTTTTCCCCTTTTGAGACAGGGTCTCACTCTGTCACCCAGGCTGGAGTGCAGTAGTGTGATCTTGGCTCACTACAGCCTCTGCCACCCAGATTCAAGCAATTCTGCTTCAGCCTGCCCAGTAGCTGGGATTACAGGCACATGGCACCACATCTGGCTAATTTTGTATTTTTAGTACAGACAGGGTGTCACTGTGTTGGCCAGGCTGGTCTCAAACTCCTGACCTCAAGTGATCCAACCACCTTGGCTTCCCAAAGTGCTGGGATTACAGGTGTGAGCCACTGTGCCCGGCCTCTCTGAAATGATCTTTTCTTACCTTCCCCCACCTCGTTTCACATGTGGCAGGAGAACAGGGACAGATGTTTCTGCAGCTTTGCCTCACATAATTCAGTGTCCAGCATCTCAGAGATTACTGGTGTGAGTGACTAACTTTATTCCAGCATTCAGAGTACTGTGCTGGGCTCTGACAAAGGCATGGTTCCTGCCCAAAGGATTTTAGCTGGGTAAAGAAAGGTGCAGGTGATGAAGGGTGACTGTTTATTTTGCCATCTGGCCAGAACATATTTGGGAGTGAAAGGGTCACAACTAATAATTACACCAGGGCAAGAGGCGTAACTGGTACCCAATGGTCATCCACAGAGAAAACCCAAATGCATCCAGTGTGGCTTATAGTCCACCAGGTACGTGATAATGTGGGATCAGAGGGCGGAGACTTCTCTGAAGTTGGGACATTCGCTGGGTGTTGAGGAATGGGCAGTTGTTTAGAAAGTGGAGCCAGAGGCCGGGCGCGGTGGCTCAAGCCTGTAATCCCAGCACTTTGGGAGGCCGAGGCGGGTGGATCACGAGGTCAAGAGATCGAGACCATCCTGGTCAGCATGGTGAAACCCCGTCTCTACTAAAAATACAGAAAATTAGCTGGGCATGGTGGGGTGTGCCTGTAATCCCAGCTACTCAGGAGGCTGAGGCAGGAGAATTGCCTGAACCCAGGAGGCGGAGGTTGCGGTGAGCCGAGATCGCACCATTGCACTCCAGCCTGGGTAACAAGAGCGATACTCCTTCTCAAAAAAAAAAAAAAAAAGAAAGTGGAGCCAGATAAGGGAATTCCTGGCAGAGCAAACAGTGGTGGCGAAGGCACTGGATGGGAAAATGTGCAGCGTGGTTAAGGTATATAGCACGTGCCGTGGATTTGGCTGCTTGGGAGAGGCAGGACTGAATGGGTAGATTGAGGCCACTTTTTTTTTCTTTTATTTATCTTTTGTTATTTTTTTAAGAGCAATACCTGAAGAGGCCACTTTCTGAAAATAGAAACTCTTGCCTGGGCTCGGTGGCTCACACCTGTAATCCCAGCACTCTGGGAGGCCGAGGTGGGTGGATCACGAGGTCAGGAGTTTGGGACTGCCCTGACCAACATAGTGAAATCCCCTTTCTGCTAAAAATACAAAAATTAGCCTGGTGTGGTGGTGTGTACCTGTAATCCCAGCTACTCCAGAGGCTGAGGCAAGAGAATTGCTTGAGCCTGGGAGGCGGAAGTTGCAGTGACCCGAGATCATGCCACTGCACTGCAGCCTGGGTGGCAGAACAAGACTCTGTCTAAGAAAAAAAAAAAATAGGAGCTCTTAAATGTCAAGCCAAGACATTATCCTTTGGATAGTAGGGAGGGTTATCAGGCATGACTCAGAGGTGCGATGATTTCACAGGACATGTCTGGAGGAGTGTCTACAGTTACAGACCCCTAGTGGCTTCCGTTTGAACCTTATCTGTCCATCTAGGCTGCAGCTCTTCTAGGAAGCCCTCCATGATTGCCCCAGCCCACAACAATCTCTGCCACCTCCCAAGTACAGCCTAAAACCCGCATCTGGGCACCAGCGCCTATCTAGGCTGCACCCTCTGGGTGCCTGTTTTGTGCCAAATGCCTGTCTCCAGTGCTCCCAGGAGGATCGGGATGAGCCCGTAAGCATCCTGGTGATTCTAGGAGGTGGAGCCCCATGTGGCTTGCCTGACTCATGCCCGCTGGTTTGCAGGCTGTGTTGGTTCCTGCAGCCCAAATTTGGGCCCAGCTGCATCCTATATTCCCTTAGGGCCCAGGCAATGGTTCTTTTCTAAAATGGGCTCTTACCTGTTCTTTCTGTGGCATAGCTGTTGGCTTGCTTCCTTCACACTGCCCCAGCTGTATGTCTTACCTGCCCCGGGGACACGAGGCTCCTCCTCAGAACCTACTCCTACCTTGCTCACCCATTCATGCCCTGAGTCATTAATTTATCCACACATCTTAGCACCAACTATAATAAGCATGAGATGACTGTTCTGGTCCCTGCCCTCAGTGAACTCCAGGGTCCAAAGGTGCAGTTGAAGAACTCTGATAATAACCACCAATGTTTATTAAGCACCTACCATGTGCCAGGGCTTTCTATGGGTACAGCAGGCAGAGTGTGGCTCTCTAAACCTGAGTCGGACCATGTCCTGCTCCAAACCCAGTGTCTGCAATATACAGAGGAAAAGCCAACATGCTCTGCCCAGCCTGCAAGACACACATGGTCTGACCTGCAGTCACCTCTCCAACTTCATCTCATATGCTTCTCCACCTCCGGACCGCTTTGCAACTCCACGAGCCCCCTTTTTTTTCCTTTTTGAGACAGTGTCTTACTCTGTTACCCAAGCTGCAATGCAGTGGTGGTGTGATCAAAGTTCACTGCAGCCTCAACCTACCACCTCAGGTGATCCTCCCACCTCAGCCTCCTGAGTAGCTGGGACTACAGGTGTGTGCCACCATGCCCAGCTAATTTTTGTATTTTTTATAGAGATGGGGTTTCACCATGTTGCCCAGGTTGGTCTTGAACTCCTGGGCCCAAGCGATCTGCCCACCTTGGCCTCCCAAAGTGTTAGGATTTCAGGTGTGAGCCATCGTGCCCAGCCTACACCAGCCTCTTGCTAGTCTTCAAACCTGGCTGAACACCTTGCTTCCTCTTCTCTGCCTAGACGCTGCTTCTCCAGGTGTTTACGTGGCCAGCTCCTGCCTTCATTAAGGTTTATCAGCTCAAATATTAGTTACACCTCTTCAAGGGAAGCCTTCCCCGACCACCCTTTCTAAAAATCACCCTGTCACTCTCTGTCCCTTCTGTTATAGCACTTACAACCACCTAATATCATATTGTATATTCATTTTATTTATCTGCCTTTTTCTCTACACTCTTGGGGATTTTTTATTGTTTTAGACGGAATCTGGATCTGTTGCCCAGGCTGAAGTGCATTGGCAGAATCTTGGCTCACTGCAACCTCTTCCTCCTGGGTTTAAGCGATTCTCATGCCTCAGCCTCTCATGTAGCTGGTATTACAGGCATGCACCATCACACCTGGCTAATTTTTAGTAGAGATGGGGTTTCACCATGTTGGCCAGGCTGGTCTCGAACTCCTGACCTCAGTTGATCCACCTGTCTTGGCCTCCCAAAGTGCTGGGATTACAGGTGTGAGCCACGGCACCCAGCAGGACTTTATTTATTGCTAAATGCCCCTTACCTCCTGGCACAGGTAGTTCTTTGTGAAATGAGCGAATGCATACATCACATCTTTAAGGTTCAGGAGGGTCTTCGAGGGGACAGCACATGTGAAGGCATGGATGCCTGCTGAAGGCCCTTCCAGGGCTTGTATCTCTAGGGATATGAACTCTTTACTGCCCAGGGCAGTACTGCCCTTTTCCAGACAGTCTTGAAATTGAGGCAATAAATGTCCCCACGCCTATACCTGAGCATTACTACAGAGACATGGCCATGTGGCCCACACATGCTCCAAGCATGGAGGAAGAAGGCCAGGGCATGGAAGGAGCTTCCTGCTCCGGCGTGGAGAGCGAACACAAGCCTTGGATCCCAGGGTTCCGCTCCCCTCCGCTGCAGGTGCCTGCCCTGTTCTGTTCTGTTGGCCTGGGAAGGAACTTTGGACAGGCTCTTTTCAATCTGAGAAGAATCTGTCCCGAAACTATGGCAATTACTTGTAATCT